CCACGCCCCCCCTCTCCCCCCCTGACCACCCCCCGCCCCCTCCGCACGCGCCAGGTCCTGGCGGCGCGCGACCGCTGGCTGCGGCCGGGTGGTGCGGTGCTACCTGACATCGCCACCATCTATGCAGCGGGGGCGGGGGACGCCGCCCTGGGGCTGGACTTCTGGCAGGTGGGGCCGCCACCCTGGGAGCAAGGGGGGACTGCGGCGTGTGAGGCTGGGGTACAGGGTGCAGGAGACAAGGGAATTATCGGGCTGCCGACTAAAACCCAGCGCAGCGTGCCAATCGGCACGCAAACGTCATCACCTCACGCCCTCACCACCTCCCTGGCTCAACCCGCGCCCCTCCTGCCCGCAGGACGTGTACGGCTTCACGATGGCCCCCGTGAGCGCCGAGATCTGGCGCGGCGCGGCGGGCAAGGTGGCGCTGCAGCCTGTGCCGGCGTCCGCCCTGGCCACGCGCCCCGCGGCGCTGCACCGCATGGACCTCGCCACCATGGCCCCGCGCGACCAGGACTTCACGGCCGAGGTCGTCATGGCCGCGCAGGAGCCCGCGTCAGCTGAGGGGGGCGGCGCCGCTGTGGCGCCTGCGGCCGTGAGCTGTGTGGTGCTGTGGTTTGATGTGGAGTTCAGCGCGCGCTTCTGCGCGCAGCGGCCGGTGGTGCTGTCGACCTCGCCCGCAGCGGAGCAGACGCACTGGGTGCAGGCCGTGCTGCCGCTGAAGGCGCCGCTGGAGCTGCCGGCCGGGGGCGCGCTGGCGGCGCGCGTGAGCATGGCGCGCAGCCCTGCGCGGCACCGCGCCCTGGACGTGTCGCTCGAGTACGGCGTGCTGGCGGCGGGTGCAGGCAGCGGCGCTGGTGAGGGTCTGGGTGCCGCCCTGCGCGAGGCGGTGTCCTTCTGCATGGAGATAGGAGGCAAGGACTGACCAGCACGTGGGCGGGGGCTTGCCGGGCTGCCTGCTAACCGGGGCAACCCGCACGATTGCGAGCGCCGCCAGCGAGCTGCCCTGTAAACTCTGCGTTGGCCTCGGAGTTACGAGCATGACCTGGGGTTGAGGGAAGAGAGGGTCAAACCCTCCAAACAGCCGGTTGATGTTGCGGCAGCATGGGGCCCAGAGCGTCTCAGCACAGCTTGTAAGGGGTGCTCCGAGGCTCCCTTGTCTCTTCCAGACCAGCAAGAGACCATGTTTTTACTCCTGATTGTGTGCGGCAGGAAAGTGTTGCTGTGCTGGGATGTGATGCTCTGTGGGGTGTGCTGCTTGGCAGGAATGATGGTGTCGGAGCAGTTGGCTGGCAGGCAACTCTCACTCTGGCTTCGGGTGGCGATGGATGCCGAAATTGGCTGCAGCTGAAAATTGACCGTGTTGGAATCAAGAATACAGCGCGTGGCTGCAAAGAAAAGTCCTGAAACACGTTGACACAAAATTTCTGGACCGATGCGGCCACGACCTCGGCGGCTTGAACTTGTTGAGGAACCACGTGCTGCACAGGAGTCTTGTGACGGAGTGGGCAATTCAACACTGTTCACACTTGACCACAGCATACAGAAAAAGTAAGTGATCGTAAAAATCCAATGTCCTGGAAGGGGACCTCTCATATGGGGACACATCAGATCATTCTGAAGCAATGGCCGGGCACACGTGCCAGCGCTTCTGTCCGGCTACGTACTGTAAGCAGATCTGCGCTCGTGCCTTCCTGGTGTTGGTTTTTCACAACGTGCCTGCAGGTGCACGAGACCTGCCAGTCACCCACACAAGGCTTGCTGCAGTCAGTATTCAAGTGCTGCCGTGATGTGACGGAGGCATACCGTAGTCGTCGGTTGATGACTTGAGTCAACGCAATGTCCCCATGCGCTCGCATGAAGCATGACTGGTGGGGTTTTGCTGCTGCATTTCCTCACAAGTGTGTGGTACAGTACAATCCATTCAATACAGCTGTTTTATTCGTGCAGATCGCATTTGAGGACGAACGCCTCAAGGCACCGTCGTGACAGGCACTGGCTACGCAAACCCGAAGGCGTTTCATCCACGCAAAGCGCGCGGTGAACACAATGTAACTGTCAGCGAGACGACATCAAAACGTGGTCCGCACCATACGGGATGCACCCGAGCCCAGCAACCCGCAGGTTCAAAGGTGTCCGTCTGGGACCACGTGCATTGCGGAGACGTACGGGATCGTATGCAAGCACGTGTGTACCGCCACCGCCCAGCCGAGTCGGACAGCAAAGCAGACTGTGCACACTCCCGGCAATAGTTGGGCGGGCCGCGCCTGACCCGCATCCCCTCTTACACACCACAGCGCTGTGCACGAGGACGACCGCTCGATACATGGCGGTGGCGGACCCGACAACCATCACAAATGTTTGGGCGCATGCCTTGGGGCAGGGATGCCCGGCACACCGCCGCTGCCGCCGCCCCGGCCGCGTGGAGCAGGAATTCCTGGCAGTCCACCGCCCCCACCGGCGCCCCCAGCAGCCGCAGAGCCCTGCGTCCGAGGCGGTGGCACACCTGCCAGGCCGCCACTGGACTGCCCGCTTTTCAGGGGCGCAGGCACACCAGGCAAAGGCCTGCTGGCTGATGCCCCAGCGCTCGCGCGCGTGAGCTGCTGCTGCCTCAGGTGATGGTGACTCTGCTGCTGCAGGCGGTAAAGCGCCTCGGCTTGCTCAAGGTCCTCCTCGTCCTCCTGTTGCTGCTCGTACTGCTGATCCTCAAACTGTTGCTGCCCATAGTGCTGCTGCTCGAAATGCGGCTGATCGTGCTGCTGATCTCCATACTGCTGCTGCTCGTACTGCTGCTGCTGGTACTGCTGCTGCTCGTACTGCTCATACTCCTCGAACTGCTGCTGATGATACTGCTGGTGCTCGTACTGCAACTGCTTGGAATGTAGCTGCTCATATTGTTGTTGTTCGTACTGCGGCTGCTCGTACTGCGCCGCGTACCCCTGCTCCTGCAAGGGCAGCGCCATCATAGCGATCATCGCGGCCTCGTCCAGGGCAATGGCCGTGGCCGCGGCCGCGGGCGCAGGCGCGGGCGTGGCCGCGGCCCAAGGCGCAGGCTGCGGCGCTGCGGCCCCACCATGGCGGGGCCCTTGCCGGGGCAGCTCTGGCACTAGGTAGGGTGCACGCTGCCGTGGCACGTGCTGCTCCTGGTGCTGCGGCTGGACTCGGTGCTGGTGAGGTTGAGGCTGGCTGTGCTGCTGCGGCTTCCGCTGAGCCGCTGGGACCGCAGCGCTGGCTGAGCCGCCGTCAGTCGGAGGTAGGCGCAGCCCAAACCCTGGCGGAAGCGGCGGCGGTGGCAGGCCACTACCGCTGCCGCTCGCCCGTGGCAGCGGCGGCAGTGAGTGAACGTTCCCCCCGGCTGTGTCATCGCCCAGGCCGCCTGTCCCCGGTGCGCCAGTGGCGTAGGTTGCTCCATGCGTGATTGGGGCCACCGTTTCTAAGTCGTAGCTCAGGCTGTCAAAGGTGTGGCTGTCATGACGACGGCCGCCTAGCACAGGACCTTGCAGCTGCTGCTGCTGCTGCTGCTGCTGCTGGTGGTGGTAGGTGTTCCAGGGAGGCGGCAGCGAGGTGGACCCCGCCAGGTGCCAGGATGGGTTGGCGTCTTGGGGCGTGCGGCCAAGAGGGGTGGAGGCCGAAGGATGCGAGGGTTGGCCTTGTCAGTGATACGGGGGCTCCCATGCACAAGGCTAGCGAAAGAGCCGACGATGCGGCACGGCGAGCTGAATGTTATGGAGCGTGCACAATGCTGTGTCGATTGGGGCGGCCCTTGCATAATACATAGCCATCCATCCCCACACCATGCCTGCAACCTGGCCTGCCTGTGACCCCAACTCTGGCCTACTAATGCTCACGTGCGCTCGTGAGCTCGCGCACGCGCGCGCATTTACGCACTCATATCACACGCACACACGCACAAGCACACAGAAACACACACACACACACACACTCACACACACACACACACACACACACAAACACACAGACCACACACGCAAACACATACACATACGCATGCCCTCACACACAAGCACGAACGCACACGCACCGTTCTGCGCGGCCTCCCCCACATCGTCCCTCTGCGGCGCTGAAGGGACGTGCGCCATCCACTCGGTAGAATCGGCTGCCGCCTCATCAAACATCCACTCGTCTGCACCCGCGCCCTGCTGCCCCCGCCCCGCCTCCTGCCCCTGCTGGGGGGCCCACTGCTCGGCCCCTGCCGCCTGCTGCTGCGCCTCCCAAGCAGCTTGCTCCCGCTGCCACTGCTCCTGCTCCTGCTCCTGAACGGCGCCGGCCGCCTCCGCCGCCGCGCGCCGCCGCGCCTCCTCCGCGGGCTGCAGGACCTCGCGCCACGTGGCCACACGCGTGTCGGCGACCGCCCCCTCCCCGCAGTCCGGCAGGACGTTCCTCACGCGGGGGGCGCGCGGCCGCAGAAGCAGCGCGGTGTGCGCCAGCAGCTGCTGCATCAGCGGCGCGCCAGGGTTGCCGCCGCCGCCGGGGCCTGTCATGCTGCCAAAGGGGTCGAGCAGCAACGCCACCTCGGCAGCAGGGCCAAACAGGTTGGTCACCACCGCAGCCCCTGGGTCACACCATCCCTTGACGGGCGCCAGCACAGGCAGCGGCGCTGCCTGAGACTCTGCCCTGTCGCCCTCGTGCTGCTGTTGCTGCTGCTGCTGCTGCTGCTGCTGCTGGGGGCCTTGCACATCTTCCGGGGCGTCGCGCGCGCCGTCCCCCTGCCCCTGGTCCCCCTCCCCCTCCTCCCCGTCCAGCAGGTTTGCCAGCTCAGCGTCAGCCGCCGCCACCGCTGCCGCCGCCTCCTCCCTGTCGCGCAGGTCGGCCGCCTCCAGCGCCGCCACCCGCGGCCCCAGCCACGGCATGAGCTGCGCCTCTGTCGTGGCGCGGGGCAGCGCGGTCAGCACGATGCGCGACAGCCGGGGGTCGAGGGGCGGCGAGGCCTGGGCAGCGGGGAGGTGCGGCGGCAATAATGGTGTGTGTATGTGGGGGGTTCGGAATGGGCGAGATGCTCCTTGTCGGAGGAGGGCAGGGGGTTGGGCGCGACTGAGGCAGCAGGCAGTGCCGGCGCTCCCTGGCATCCTCGGCTGCAGGCACGGTGAGCCCCTTGCCCACGGCGTGCTCACTGCCACCTGGCAGCAGGCTGTTCACGGCCCGGCCCCTGCTCACGCCAACGGGAGCCCGCAGCCGCACCGCCCCACCTGCCGCGCCTGGGCGGCCTCCGCGGCCGCGCGCGCGGCGTCGCCGCCGCCGTCCTCCAGGCTGCGGCCCAGTGCGTCCAGCCTCTCCCCCCCCAGCTTGAGGTACCCGGGCTCCAGCAGGCCCTTGCGCCCCCACGCCTCCAGGGCCCGCCTCACGCGCTGCAGGCTCGCCGCGTCCGTGGCCGCCAGCTGCAGCATGCGCGGCAGCCCCGCGCCCGCCTTGGCCGGCAGGTCGCGCGCGGCGGGGGGCGCGTCGGGGCGGCGTGCGTGGGAGAGCAGGCAGTCTGTGACGTAGAGCAGGTTGACGCGCGGTGCCCCGGGGGGGACGCTGGACGGTGA